TTCATGTCCCCCTTCGGAACGACAGTTCTTAGATCCCCGTGTACATGTTTTTACCCGAACAACCATTGGACCCATCAGGTACCACATGACTCTAACTTAGGGACTGTTTGTTTCAGCCTCTTAATGGTTCAGATGTTTGAATGGTTCAGCACTTAATGGTTGAGACTGTTTGTTTCAGCCTCTTAATGGTTCAGATGTCTGAATGGTTAAGAGAATTGCCTCTGAATGGTTAAGTATTATACAGAGTCTGAATGGTTAAGACCTCTTATCTGAATTGATCAGACATTTGCCTCTGAATAGTTAAGTAAGCAATATACTAGCTCTTAATGGTTCATACCTCTTACTGGTTCAGCACTTAATGGTTCAGACCTCTTACTAGTTCAGCACTTACCTATTCAGAAGTTGTCAAACAGCCCCTTACTAACTTATGGCATAACTTACCACTATTCCGTTCAGGTCAGCTCCTAGAGTTTGTTCTAGGTATTTCATCATTTAATTATCAATAATTCACAACCTACATGTTCATGCATCATTCATCACATCCAACATACTCAAACAATGGCCTAACACTGGGTATTGACACCCATGTTTACCGTCATGCAACACACAAAGTCTCGGAATCAATCCTCGATGCAAATAGAGATTACAGACCGGTTCAGATACCTCACGGTACCCTTGGCTGTAGGGGTTACTGGCCCCACGATACCAAGGTACCGTCCCACGGTAGATGGGTACCGTCTGTGTCAGCTGGAATGCTCAACCGGTAGGCTGTCACGGTAGCCTCTACTGACCCGGTGGTAGGGCCTACCGCCCACCCAGTACCTAGGTACCGTTTGGTGACAGGTACTGACAGAGCAAGGTGGAAATGGAGTAGTTGGCGGTAGCAAGGTACTGTGTCAACAGTACCTACCTACTGTCTGTCGTGGCGAACACCAGACTTGCAGCAGCTCCGTTTTTACCCATCAAACAACATTAATGTCATAAAAGACAAGCTTAAACAGGTTCTAAATAATAAATCCAACATTATCTAACAAGCTCTTAAACAATCCTAGATCAAATCATGCTTCTCAAATCACACACGACATAACAAAGAATATTTCACGTATATTCCAAATAGATCAACCGTAACGATTCTACAAACGTAAGATTCAAACCTACGACTATAACCATACGTTAGATGTCCACGTTATTACCGAATATCGTTAGCAATGGAGAACCGGACGGCGAGTCCCTCTTCTTTCTTCTTCCTTTTCTTCTTCTCCTTCTTCTTTCTTTTCTCCTTCCTCTTCTCTTGCTGCATTCGTCCTTCTGCTCTGTTCCGTTCGGAGAGAGAGACACGAGAGAGAGAGAGAGAGAGAGAGACGAGAGAAGTTACGTAATGTTATGGAGGCGTAGGGCTTTAGGCGTGTGAAGGATTATATTTATACTTTTGGGGTTTTTGTGGGCTCCGTATTAACTTAATGTACGTGGCCCAAACGCACTTTCCAGGCCCATGGGCTCCAAATCCAAATCCGATTTCACCGTTGGATTCGATCGGTCGAACCCTACACAACGGTATAAACCTTATTGTCAAACGAAGAATATTTATAATTTTTCACCGAGTCCGTCTCAGTAATTAATTAATTATTTTTAATTAATTAATTGTGATAGGCCGGGTTTCGTGGCGTTACAAAATGACTACTTTAGCCGTTAACCCAAAAAAATTCTAAATTCCAAAAATAAACCTATAAATTCCCCTCAAAACAAACCTATCTCTCACACGTCCTTCATTATCTTCTCTCTACAATTCTATCAATCTTTTCAAATATTTGATTATTTATTATAAATATTTATGACATATATTTTAAAAATGGGATCATCTTCATCCGATGATGAAAAAAGAGCTCTCATGTTTTGTTGTTTCGCCACGGGTTGTGTTCAATGGCGGGAACAAGGCGAAAAAGAAGACCCCGAATCCTCCCGACACCGGACCCGGACCCGACGACAACGTTTAAACCGGGATCGAGCGGCCGCCCACACTTCACTTCTCAACGACTACTTTAATACTCTGTGTGTTTATACACCGGAGGATTTTAGTAATCATTTTTGGATGAATCGCCCTCTCTTTTTACGCATACTCGCCGATGTTGAACGCGAGGTGCCTTGGTTCACCCAACGCTTTGATGCGAGAGGCCTGTTTTTGATGATTGGATTAATGAGACCGCACCCGACTCGTCTTTTGAGCTTAGAGGGACGCTTTACAAGCGTGGATATTATTTGGCCGATGGAATATATCCAGATTATTCCACGATTGTCAAGTCCTTCTCTGAACCAATGGGTTTTAAACGCCAGACCTACAAAAAAGCTCAAGAGACGGCGAGAAAAGATATTGAACAAGCCTTCGCGGTCTTGAAGGCTAAATGGCACATTCTAGATCGTCCGTTGAAATGTTTTTCTCAAACAAAAATGAGAAATATCATGTACGCATGTACTATTCTTCATAATATGATCATAGAGGAAAATGGGTTTGTTATTTGTCAATACAACCCGGACGAGGAGGTGCCTATGTACGAAGAAATCGACGAAGAAAAGAAACGAAGAAACCGTCAAAAAATTCGAAGCCGAGATTTTCATAATGCACTAACGGTGGATTTGATCGAACATATCTTCACTCGCTCGAATAATTAGTAATTTCTTTGTAGTGTTGTTTTTTTTATGGATGTAATATTTTTTTTAATGAATGTAATTCTTTTTTTAATGAATGTATTTTTTTATGGATATAATATTTTTTTAATGAATGTAATTTTTTAATGTACTAGTTTCCTTTCGATTAATTTAAATAATAAATTAATTAAAATTTATTCATTTAAATTTAGAAGATGTATATTTAAAAATGTAAAAAATGAAGGTTTGAAACCCCTGTTTGAAGCCCCGGGGCTTCAAACCCATTTCCAATGAATCTGTGAGGTAAGTTAAAGCTGACGTGGTAGAGAGAAGTTTTGAAGCCCTGGTTTGAAGCCCCACAGCTTCACGAGTATTTCTAGTGCTCTAAAAATAAGTGGCATTTTAAGCACAGACAAATAACTTGATCACATTTTAAAACTGCTATGAGATTATGTGAGAGTGTATACCGTATATCCGGTTGTACATAAAATTAGATATACCCGGCTAATATTTATTTTCAGCTATAGTGTTTATTCGAAAGTCTGCATAGCATAATGTTAATTTTGAAACTATGTAGTGTTCACTCTGAAATATGTTAATTTTGAAACAACATACTGTTCATTGTAAAATATTTTTTTGAGAATGAATTCTGAAAATAGTTTTTTCTAATACGATGTTTTCTCAAATCAGTCTTTAGTAAGTCCTAAGTACATGTATGATACTTTATCTTTGAGATTCATTCTCTGGATAATCATTCGTAAAAAATGTTACTTAAATGTCGATTAAGTTAAAAGAACTTTGAGATTTTTCATCATCTAAACTTAGAATAATTGTCAAAATGAGCATTTCAAGTGAAGTATTTCTCCAAAAAGATCTTTTATAATTAAAGAGATGTATTTGATTCAAATTTTAAAATAGAATAAATTCCATAAAAGGTCCCCAGTTATAGGTCGTTTTACATATATAGTCCCTACATATCAAATATTATTAATTTAGTCCCCAATTATTATATCATTTTTCACGAATGGTCCTTTGTTAACGTTTTTGTTCAGAACATGAATAAAATTGTATATTCATACTTCACTCTCTTCTCAATTAAGCTTCCTCCCTCCTCTCGTACTCTTTCCCAAACTCATCGCTAAGTTTGAAACTCTAAACCCAAAATTGAAATGATCATTCCTATCTCAATTATTAGTCTTCATGGTGGAACCTAAAATCAAAACCAATAACCTTTATGGATGAGTTTTATCGGTTAGTCATAAGAAATTTCAAACAAAATAAATATTAAAACTCATCCATGAAGGTTACTAGTTTCGAATTTGGGTTCCACCCGTTACACAAACAATTGAGAGAAGAGTGATGATTTCGGTTTTGGGTTCAAAGCTTCAAACTTAGCGACGGGTTTGGGAAAGGAGTGCGAGGGGAGGGAGGAAGCTTAATTAAGGAGACAAAGGAGTGTGAATTTACAATTTTATCCACGTTCTTAACGGAAATGTTAACAAAAGATCATTCGTGGAAATGAATATAATAATTGGAGACTAAATTAGTAATATTTGATATGTATGGACTAAATATGTAAAACGACCTATAACTAGGGACTTTTTATGGAATTTATTCTTGAAAATACTTTAACAAATTTTTATTAATTCATAAATTATGTATAGTCAATGATTGTTTTAATTTTACACGAATTCGTATAAAAATAACCATTTTGTATAAAAATCTTCTTCCTCACCATCTTAACCGCCGCGCTTATCTTCTTCCTCCGAATAGCAATCGTGGCCCTCATCTCCATCCTCCCCCTCGCACCTGCCGCACCCTCTCCTCCCTCTAAGTCCTAACCGCCGCCCCCCACCCTCCACTCATCTTCTTTTTCGTGAGTTCAATTTGTTGAGATTTGATTTTCTTTGGGAGTTTTGATTAAAGAAGTGAACTCTTTCTCTAGCTTTCGGATTTGGGAAATTCGTTCAGCTTTCATATTTGAATTAAAAATTTATGTGGAATTTTAGATTGGGAAATTTTGTTCCGATTTGATTCTCACATTCTGTAATCTTTATTTTCTGATGCAAACCAAACGGAAATACATAATTTTCAACCTTTCATCCAAACACCAGAAAATGATTTCTGGAAAATAACTCATTTTTTAGAAATCATTTTCCAAAAGTCATTTTCCTCTTTTCCAAGTAGACCCTTAAGTGAACTTTTTTTTAAAGACTACTTGGAGAATAAATCTCAATTATAAAGTACAACATAGGTAATCATAACTTATTGAGGACTAATTTGAGAAAACACGCCTCATTAGAAATAAATAATTTTGAATTTTTTTTTAATTGTAAATTTGTCAAGATGTACCAAGAGAAAGGTACATCAAGCAGTACCATATACTTGGCCGAACTTGTGGCCCTCTAGAATGGTTAAACCGTAATATTAACAAACAAGAAAGTAGATCTCTTTGAAACAAGTGATCCAGTACGAAACAACATGAATGAGAGCAGTGGTCTTAAAAAACATGCAAAGAAATCCATTTCAAGAATCAATGGAGTCATTGCAAATGTATGGTCTGTAAGGAAACCTTAGCCACAAAAGCAGTTAGAAGAAGATTGAAATGCCCATTGTCAAGCATCCTACTGCAACCCAAGGGCTCAGGCGCTCACCTGTCATCCCCAATATAGAACAGACCCCAATCAGTGATAGATATTTAAGAATGAAAGAAACTGAAGGGACTGGTAGCATTTCCTCAAATGAGAATGTGAACAACCCAAGCTACTGTTTTCTGGTCAATGGCCAGTTGACCATGAAAAATATAGTAAGAAGATTTCCTATCCTACACTTTGTCCATTATGGGAAGGTCAATGATTGGGGTTGTCATTTGTAAGAAATTGTTGAGGCTTGCCGGTAAATAAATCAAACACAGAAATATGGAAAGAAAGCATATAAGAGAATGACAGCTTTCAATTTTCTGTGGCAAATGAGGTTACATGTTTCATCACCAAGAGCCCTTCACATCACACCCAACTTTGCCTCATTTCCTTGTCATAATTACAGCGATCTAGCAATTGAATCAAAGCAGACAAATACGGATACTTGTCCCATCCCTTTCAGTGTCATTACTAAGTTGGGTTCTTTCCCCTTTACATACATAAAAGAAAGTTAACAATCAAATTTAATTTTACAGACAATTCCCCACTTTTGGTCCCACAACTACTAGGATATTCCCACGCAGGGGCGGAGGGAAGAAAGAATCCGGTGAAGTACCCATATTACCGGGGTTCGGCGTCTTTGGGTCTTTGGTTTTCCCTTTCCATTTTTGTTGCACGATTGTGGATTTTTTGAAACTTGTCATTCCCAGTCACTAACATAAACTAAACCAGAAATTGTAGGTAAAGTGGCTGGATGTGTGGTAGAAAGGACCAAGTGTGACAAGGAATCCAGTCATGCACCAAAAGTGGAAACGAGTGAAAGTCACCATTTTATTTGTCATTAATACAAATTCTAAGAAATGGAATTGGGGTAAATGGGTAATAGTCCCGGGGCCTAAAGTGAAAATTCTACTAACCTGATGGGTACCACAAACTAATGTTTCAAGAAATTTTATGTTGGCAATTTCTATTAGGAGCAGCACGAGACATGAGGTAGAACAATCTTACCTATCCTAGCTGCCTTCCAGAAGAATCCACGAAACCTGTTAAATTTTATTTGTGTCATTAGTTCAAATCTAACAATACGTTTCGTTCAAGGAATTTGAAGGGAAAAGAAAAGAATATGGTTTTTCACTCGTTTTCCTCACCAAACTAGGAGGAATATTTTTTCCCCTTCTCTTAGTGCATTTTGCCTTCTCATTTTGTTTTCCTTCTATTTTTCTTTTCTTTTCATCTCTAAACAAACAAGAAAAATAGTTTCCATCTCATTTTCTTTTCTATTCCCTTTCCAATTCCCTGAACTGAAGATAGCTTTAGAAATGAGGTTGGGGGGAAATTGTAACACATGTGAGGGAGATGGGGCTTTCTCCGTGTAAGAGAAGGATACACAATCATAAAGTACTACGTATATAACAAGAACCTCGCGGCTTAAAATGTCTTGATTTTCATTATCAATAACCTAATTGCAAGACAACTTACCCAGTTCTCTGCTCAAGAATTGCTGTAAACTGCATCTTTAGATATGTGCATGCACAGATTCCTAAGAGCACTACTGTGAGAAAAGAATGGAAATTGAACAACGCAGACTGAAAAGCCAATAAATTGATATTTCAGTATCTAATATGACTGAAGGGATAATTTAACTACATTTCAGACTCTTCTAGTCTTTTTACAATATTTATAGTTTTCCAAGGTGATTATTGAAAAAAGTCCACTAAACTACAAATCCATCTTACCATATTTCACTTTCAGGTGCTGACTAATCCAGTTTTCCTCCAACTGAAAACAAAAAAAAATAGAAACCATTAGTTTTATCTACATTCAGGAACACTAAGAAAAAGAAAAATAAGATATCATAAAACAGACAAATCCCATCACATTAACACAACTAAACTGTACAATATGTCATTATCAGGTACCTAACTATTGTAATCCTGTGGTACAAGTGGTGTAACATTTAAATTAACCCCGCAAGGCCACAACATCCATGGAAATGTAATGAATCAATCATTGATACACTTCCTGGGATTAAATCAATTTCTACAATATTATCACAACCATAGTCGTTGGTATCGTGCAATTCATGGAACATATCACATGATTTCATACAATTCTAGATGTCACTCATAAGATACATGCTAGTTATGAAATGGAAAAGAATCAGGTATGGAATAAGTCACTTATGATGTTATTTAGAACTTTGGCATAAGTGGAAGAATTTAATTTAGCATTTGTACGGAAATTTAAATATCTACTATAAGCTTTTGAGCATGATCTTCATAATTTAGGTAGAATTTTTGACACCAATGATGCTTATTAACACGTTTTTGAATAATATGATACAATGAAACGAATCCATTCACGATTCATCATGATTTAACAACTACCCTTGTTTTAAAAAAGCGCTCTTGAGGCCCGGTAGTGCGATCAGAAAACCGCCTCAGGACATCAGGATGCAACGCTATCTAAAAGGTGTGTGTTTCCTTGTGCCTTTGGTGCACACGACACCACAGTACAATTTCTTTACTCCTATTTCTTTTCTATTTTCTTACTTCCTGATTTGATTGAGATTGAACCATTCTGTTTAGAATTAATTCTGATTCTTTGTTTTTCTCAAATAACCCCGGAGTATTTAAATGCTGCAACATAATTTAAATTCATTCACATGTACAAAATACTATTTCTGTTGTTAAGCATGCTTGCTATGGTTGTTCAAAAATATACTTAGTAATTGTGTTTAAATTATTTAAGGATAAAACTATTTGTACCCCAAGGATTTGTACCCCATTTTGTACACCGCAAGGATGCACCAACATTTTGTGTTGGTGTAATGCTAATTTTTGTTAACGCACCAACACTTTGTGTCAATGCTAATTTTTGTTAACGTACCAACACTTTGTGTCAGTGTTAACCATCAAAATGTTGGTGCATACCTTTGGTGTATAAATGGGGTACAAATTTTGGGGTACATGTAGCATGCTCCGTTATTTAATGATATCATGCACAAGCCATATAATTGGGTTTTATCAACTATATGGACCTCAGATCTGTGAGGTACGCGCATCCGCCTAGCACTTTGAATTTTTTGAAGTAAAACATGTCAGGGCACTTTGCATCTTTCAAAGCAAGAAACTACTATCACAACTAATGGTTTGAGATTTAGTTGGACCACACTGAACATGAATGGTTTGTGGCCAGAACCCTACATTTCCAGAAACCGCTTCCATTGCGGTAACGTGGTCTAATCAAGGGTCCTTGCTGACTACAAAATTAACATATTTGTTTGAGACCCAATGACCACTCAAACATGTGGATTGATAAAGGTAGAAGAAATATACAGCACAAATCATAGGAGAATATGCCAGAAAGGAAATTCCGCAGGATATATAATAACCATTTCAGATTGGAGTGGCCAAGAAATCTAATCTAGAGCTGAGGAATTGAAAATGAGAGGAAAAGGAGACTCAGCTTACCTGCAGATTTGTGAGCTCAATCGAGGACGGGCTGGGACGGACAACCGTTCACCGCAGGTCGCAGCGACGGTAGCCGGGCAGTGCGAGCAAGGCGAGGACAGACGAACTGAGCTTGAAGCTGGTAGCGTCGATGGGTCTAGACTCTAGATCGAGTGGAGAAAAGAAGATTGTCTCGGTCGTCGCCGCAGAGATAGCAAAAACGAGAACGTATATGGTAGAACACAATGTATGGTACTAATCATTTTGAAATAAAATATTACTCATTCTCGCTAATTAAATACAATTAGCGTGATACACATTCTAAAATAATACAGTATTCATTTTCACACATTGTTTCGATATAATTATAATATTTATCTACAAATAATGTAATGTTTATTCTGAAACAAAACAATGCTCATTTTTAAATAACTTATTATTCATTCTCATGTAAAATAAAATTCATACCATAAATAATTTCTTGGTTGTACCCAAAATAGGGTACAACCAGATGTATAATATAATTTGCCAGCAAACAAACCATACCCGTTCGACCTGATGTTTTTTTCTTGAACCGCTATACTTAAACCAAAAATTGTACAACAAACTTACATCAAAAGTATATGATGGGTATATCCCTATACCCGGCCCGGACAACCGAAAGACAGGTCATGGGAATGACTTGATGATTTCAAAGAAGGACAGGCCATGGGAATGACTTGATGCTTTCAAAGAAGGACAGGTCATGGGAATGACTTGATGATTTCAAAGGACAGGTCATGAGAAAGATTTGATGATTTCAAAGAAGGACAGGTCATGGGAATGACTTGATGATTTCAAAGAAGGACAGGTCATGGGAATGACTTGATGATTTCAAAGAAGGACAGGTCATGGGAAAGATTTGATGATTTCAAAGAAGGACAGGTCATGGGAAAGATTTGATGATTTCAAAGAAGGA